TGTCAAATCAGGCTAGTGTCACCGGAACCTGAAGAATGGTGGAGAAGGCAATACCTTTGGGGCTCTATACATTGAAAAATCTCTTGTGCTTCTTGAAAGGAAAGTGAGAAACAAATATAACAGTGAGAGACTTTTAAAATTCCCTTCTAGTCCAGGCTACATGTTGCAATCAGCATAAACTGTCTACAAGCAAAGCCTGCTGAAAAGCATCTGCACGCAAACATCCCTCCTGTGCAAATCATAGTTTCCTATTTCCAGTTGAGTCAAGTCCCAACGTCTAAGTGAGGCAGGCAAAGGGCTTCAAAAATTGGCCCCTCGTCACTCGTATTTCATCGCTGTTTCTTGATACTCTCTCCTCCACCCTACCCTACATGTCAGAGGTTAGCGAACTTCAGCCCATGGGCCAAATTTGGACTCAGGCCTATTTTTGTAAGTAAATTTTTATTGGAATATAGCCATACTCATTTGTTTATGTATTGTCTATGGCTGCTTTTATGCTACAAGGGCAGAGTTGAGTAATTGTGAAAGAGACCGTATGTAGCCTCTTAGTCTGCAAAGCCTAAAATATGTATCATCTGGCTGGCCCTTTACAGAAAAAGTTTGCTGACTCCTGCTATAGACCAGGCTTTTTCAGACATTTTTGGCCATGACTCACAATAAACACATTTTACAATGAGACCTAGTATACACACAGATACCTGTGTGCATATTTATAAATACATATTTCTCAAAATAACATTTACCTTTACTACACACAGTGCATTCTGATAGTTTCCAGTCTACTAAATTTTTTAAAAAGCTGTTCATGACATTATACTAATCTCATGACCCCAAATGAGTCTTGATTCATTTTTGAAAACACTGCTCTAGACAAACTGAATGACTGGCTACTTACAATACATGTCCCCTGCTCTCCCACCTCTATTCCTTTCTTGACATTGCTCCCTCCATTTGATAAGGCCCTGTCCTTTCATCTCTATGTGTACAAATCCTTCCCATTCTTTAAAAACTGGCACAACTTCTATCTCTTTCATGAAGTCTGCTTTGAACGTCCAGTCCCAAAGCATTTACCGCTTTTCTCATCTCCTATACCATTTTTTCTACTTCTCTATATGGAACTCTAAAGTTTCTGCTTTGTAGAATAGTCATCTGTGCATCTTTCTAATTACGTACCCTAAAGATCTTGAGTTTCGTAAAGGTATCGTCTGAAGCGTTTTGTATTCTACAAACCATCCAATACAGTGCAGTGTACTCTGTAAGTACTGAATAAATGTTTACTAAATTGAAGTAAGCAAATATCTATTACTAAGGGCATAATATGGTTTATACATGTAATATTTTATCCTTTATTTTTAAATACTTAAATATATGGTATATCGTAAGCACTCAATGAATGCTTATAATGACAAAGAGAGAGGGAAGGATAACCTGGAATTACCAGTTCCCATTCCAGTTGTTACATTTGTGTTATTATAATAACCAGCAGGCAGAATTATTATAAACAATATATAATCTCTGATTTTTTGGGTCACAGTTACTGGTTTAGACACACAGAACACCAAAGAGGAAGGGAACTGTTCTATCTGTTAGGGCTTCAGCTGAGAAAATGTATGTTTTGGCTGTCCTAAGCAGAGCTGCCATCCATACATTCTGAGTTCAAACAGTAGTACTTGAGAGAGCTTGATACGGTCTCTCTTTTTCCAAGGAAACAAAGATGCATGCCATCCCTCCTGGACCATTAATGGTAATGCTACTAGGATCTAACAGATTTCAGTAAGAGGAGAAAATTCCTCAGGAGGAAATTCCTTTAGGAACCCCAATATAGCCCGAAATGCTGTCATTATGACCAGTTAGAGTGGTTTTACTGCAATCTGTTTAAGCAGGACAAAATAGGACTAATTCTTAGGAATTCAAGTATGGTATGATATCAGCAAATCAATCATGATATTTTATTACACTCACATAATAAAGGGAAAAAACATATTAATATATCACTAGGTTCTAAAAGGGCACCTGATAAATCCAGCAACCATTTCTAATAAGATTCTAAGTAAAATGAGAATAGGAACAAAATCTACCTAAACATGATAAAGATTTTACCATATTAAAAAGTAATCATAAAATAGATGGTAAAACATTGAATTCTTTTCCATTAAAATCATGAACTATCACAATTATTATTTAATATTATTTTGAAGATTGTGGCTAATGCAATAAGATAAGAATATGAAATAAAGGGTATAAATATTAGAAAAGAAAACACAAAAAATCTTTTAGTCATAGATTATATGACTGTATACCTTAAAAAAATCCCGAGAGAGGATGTAGAGTTTCTAAAAAAGAAAATGCTATAATTAATAATAGAATGTGCTAAGGTGGTTGCAAACCAGAGAAGAGGCTTATTAATCAATAGCTTTGCTTTATATAAGCACTAAACAAGTTATAAAGAAAAATGAGGACTTCAACATTAAAATGAAAGTTGTTAAAACTCTATAAGACAAATGACCCAGTTTTTTCAATGAATAAATTAGAAAGAGAAAATGTGGAGGGAAGAAATGCAGATTAAAAGAGACTTAAGAGATATCAACCAGTTATAATGTAAGATCTTTTGGATCCTACTTGGAAAAAACTATTGAGGGGGGATGAGAATAGGAGAAATTAGTTTTGGAGTTCCACTTCTGCACTTCTGTTTAGGATGTGAAAATCTGCAAGAGAACGTCACTCCCCTCCCAGTAATAAAAGAAGGCCAAGACATCTACAAAATCATAATTATTCTTGAACTCATTAAAGATCTGAGGTCACAAGGCAATCAAGTAAAGTGAATTCCAAAGAGTGACAAGCCCCTCCAAGGAGAGACAGAACACAAAACCATCTTGCCTTTGGCAGCGCACAGGAGAAAGAGGATGATTCCATACAAATGAATAATAAGAAGTCACATAAGAGTTTAAAAAGTTCTTAAAGGCCAAGTATAGCCTATTACGTTAGTTTAAAATTGCCTGGAGTCCCAGATACAAGAGACATACTTCCAAGTTCTTTCCCATGAGTTCTTTTTCCACTGGGTGCTCTAAAGAAAGATTGGAAACACAGAGGGAGACTTGACGGTGCTTGCGTGCAGGAGATGATCAGTTGCTGAGAGACAAGCATGAAACCCAGCCAGTTCCTCAAACCTTCTCCAAACCTCAGGAGACAAAAGCCTTAAGCTCTTGGATGTATGAGCTGCAAACCTTCTCATCCCAAGGGCCCAGGCAAAGATCCATTGCTACTGGAATAGGTGTTGAACTAAAAACCCTCTGTCCCTGGAGAAAGGGCAGGAAACCTGCCTGGGCCCAGAGTATACCAATACTAAGCAGAGGTCTCTGACATTGGAGAAGGGTCAAGCACCTGGTGATAGAGGTCTATTTCATATCACAGACCTGCAGTAACTACTGAAAGCTGCGAATGAAACAGAAACACTGAAAAATCTCCTTCAGCACCCCATCCTTGCTTTCAGCACATAGTAAAAACATCCCACTTCTAGAAGAATTTAAAGTCTGCGCTACACTAAAGATTATAACAGAAACAATAAAATCCAAACCCAGCTCAACTCCTGACTAGATTAACTTAACCTTGCACATTAAGGCCCAATAGAAAAAGAGGTGTTCCCATTTCTGCATATAAATATTATTTTCCCTAGTCTCTACTGTTTTTATATACATCATGTCCAGCATTCAATGAAAAATTATGATATACAAAAAGTAAGAAAGAATAAACCATTGCTTTATCAAGAAATAAAGCAGTCAAGAAAATCAGAGTCAGAGATGTACCAGATATTGGAACTATCAGACAGGGAGTTTAAAATAACTATGTTTAATATGTTAAATGATCTAATGGAAAATATAAACAACATACAACATACAGAAACAGATGTAGAATTTTATCAGAGAGATGAAAATTATAAAAAAGAGTCAAATAAAAATGCTAGAAATAAAAAAACACAATATCAGAGATGAAGAAAATTTCTTTTCTGGCTCATCAGCAGATGGGACAAAGCTAAGGAAAGAATCAATTAAAGATATGCCAATAGAGATGAAAGATACGCCAATAGAGATTATCTAAACTGAAACAAAAAGAAAAAAGAGTAAACAAAACCAAACAGTGCATATAAGAGCTCTGAGACAACATATGGTCACAAATCGTCTAACATATGTGTAATTGGAGTCCCAGAAGGAGAAGAGAGAGAGAATGTGGAAGGAGAAAAATTTGAAAAGATAACGGCTGAGGATTTTCTAAAATTAATGAAAGACAACAAACAGATCCAAGAATCCCGGAGAACCCCAAGAAGGATTAAAAATAAATATACATACCCAGACAAATTATAATTAAACTGTTGAAAACAAAAGACAGAAAGAAAATATTGAAGGTAGCCAGAGATGAGGTTGAAGGAAATTTAAATACAGACAAACAGAATTAAGAATTAGAGCCCACTTCTTGGAAACTATGCAAGCCAAAAGACAACAGAGTGACATCTTTAAAATACTGAAAGAAGAAATTATTTTTTTAACATTTTAAGTGTGATAACGGTACTGTGGTCAAAATTTTTTTTCTCAATAGCCCTTATACTTAAAGATTCACACTGGGGATTGCTTTACAAGAATCAAGGAAGAGGGCTCCCCTAGAGAAGAAGGGTAGAGAAAAAGCAATATTGACCATGAGTTGATGATGGTTGAAACTAGGTGATGAACACATGGGAATTCAATATGATATTCTCTCTACTCTTATAAATTTTTTTAAAATTTCCAAAATATTTTTTAAAGGAATAGAAATTTTTAAAAATAAGAAGAAATAGGCAGAAGATGTGAGTGTATCACAGCACATATCCCACTAGGTCTCTCGGATTTTTTTTTGCTTCTAATTAACTCTTCCTCCAACCTTTGATTCACAGTGGGCTCGCAAGTCTCCAAACTGGAGTCACTGAGGGCTGTAGCCACCCTCTTTAGTAACATCAACCCAACAAAGCCTACCAGTGCCGAAGCTCTCTTCTCCACATAGAGAACACCGTCCCGAGTCCATCAGATTTGAGAAGAATCTCCATCCAGCTGGGGTCTCATATACAGGGACCTTCATTGATTTGGCCACTCTGAAAAATGAAATTTGAGGCAACAGTCAATTCATATATCTCCTTTCCTTTCTTTTCTCAGCACAGGAGGAAGTCTTTAGGATCTATTAATTCTATAACCAGAGTTCAGAACATCCTGAACAATGTTGATGGTTTTCAGGATGTCAAGTCATAAGATAGAGAATGATAAATAGCATATGCCAATGGTCCTTAATATTGCTTTCCCCATAATATAGAAAATATTAACTTAATGTATAGAATATTCTCATATTTATGTTTCCCTTCTATAAATGTTCCTTTATCTTTGTGGTAAGATCCCACTTGGGGAATCTCAGAATCTAAATTAAGATGGTATTTGGTACAACACTTTGAAGTATTGTTTGACAGTATATACTAAAGATGAATATATACATATCCTATGAACCAGCAACTCAACTTCTAGAAATTACTGATGACATGCAGTGGATACCATGGTGCACTGCTCAGTTTCACACACATACGTGCATACATACATACACACACACTTACATATTTGAGGACTTTTAGGACTGGAACACTCATTCTATCAGCTGCTAGAAATGTTGATGGCTGACAGCTCACAGATATGACCCCCACTCTCTGCCAAAGAGATATGTCTCACTCAAAATCATGTTCCCTTCCCTGTGTCAAGCCACAATGCAATGACTGGTGAATGAAGGATGTATAAAGGTCTAGCTTCCTTGCCCCCATTTGGCACAACTCTGTCAGGCCATTTCAGCTCCAGAGCTCCCCATAGGTTGGCTAAGCCTTTGTTGTGACTACATCACAGTCCAGCTTCTCTCTTTCTGTCTTATCCTCCTTCCTCACTTCCCCATAGGTGTTGATCTTGAAGGCAACCTTGATCTTGGTAGCAGAAAGGAATAAACTTTCCACAAGCAAATCTCTCTCAGAGCTGGTTCTCTGAGAGCCCAGTGTGTGACATTACTCCAAAGAGTATGTACACAAGATTTTACAAAAATGATCATAGAATAATTCATAAAAACTGAAACAACCCAAATATCCATCAAAGTAAAATGGACAAATGATTTGCAATATATAATGCCATATCACAAATTCCATTGATCAAACTATTGCTACATGCAACAACTTGAATGAACCTCACAAACATAATATTGAGCAAAAGAGACCAATAATAAAGAAACATATACTGTATTGTTTCATTTAGATAAAATTCAAAAACAGCTAAAACTCATCAATGCTGTCAAAATTCAGGCTCAGAAGATCAAAGGGGTCAAGTGTTTTGCTCAAAGTTTCACTGAGGTAAGAGGCAAAACTAGAATTTGGACCCAAGTCTGTTTGATTGCTGCTCATGTTCTATCCCTCTATACCACGCTGTCTCCCTAAATGTTTCAGTGTTTCAAAGGTGTACAGGATGCTAGGGAATGAGCTGGTACCACAAACACTGGCCTGAAGAGTTTCATCTTCTCCACATGCAAGCAACCAACAGAGAAAAATAGCAAATGCCCGCCACCAGCAAGGTTTCATTCTTTGAAGGCTGTAAGAGCAGGTGGCCACAGAGAGGAACCAGTGTCTTGGTGAAGAAGAGGAAGAAAGATGCACATAGGACAAAGGACACAACATAATAATGATTTCTTCAGGTTCATTTTGTTGCCGGCTAGAGGAAAACATATCTAGAAACTCCTGCCGCAGGAAAGGGAACACCTCCCTTTCCGTAAAACCCAAATATAGTCCATGTGCTCAGGATCTTGAAAAATTGTGTTCTAAGTCTCTTTCAAGTTTGCTTTGAAAAGAAGCACTTTTTAGATGTTCGGGTGTTACTTCAAAGGTTCTGTTTTCTCTTTTTTTCAATGGTCTAAAAGACATACACAATCATGCCTACATCCTGGTAGTAACAATGAAGCAAGTCCTCTCCAAATTGTAGAGCAAATGTAAATTTTCAGAGCCATTACTTTCATGGTCAGGAGCTCAAGTAAGGAGGAATAATTCACACAGAAGCTTTCCAGGGGCACCCCACAGAAAAGCTCAAAATTAATTTAGCAAATATGAATGCATATGATTACCAAAGAGAATGTGCAACATGGGGCAGAGGTGAAGGTAAGAGAGAGGGTAGAGGGTGTGGCTGTATATTTTCTGGCCAAAACATTCTTGTAGGTGCAAAGCCAAGTTGGCAGATCTGAAGGGAGGGGAAAGGATTTCCCCAGCTCCCACCCTTTCCAATTAATCACTGTCAGGAGGTCATCAGGCTGAAGGCTGAGGCAGAATTTTAAAGGACCGGATACTTTTATGACTATGAGCCACAGTTGCAGCTATGTAAGCTAAGATAACAATATGGGTAATTAAATTCCAGGATTCTGAGCACGAGTTGATTGTGTCCAAGAGTCAGAAAGGAATTCCCCTTCCTCCCCCCTCTACTGAACTTGGGATCCATCCCAAACACAGCACTCAGCAGAAACCATGCTCTAGACTGGGTTTTGGCAGGAGGCCCCCGGGGAGTCTCTGAAACCCTCTGGGACAAAAGTTCAAAATGAAGCTGCTCACGGTGAGGGTCTGCACCCGTCTTCTTGACTGCTGCCACCATGTGTTGGAGACAAACATGAGAACTCACTTTCTAGGAAAGACCAGAGCATGAATGAAAAGAAAGAGAAACAAATCTGGACCACAATTTTCCTGTAAGTGGCTGTGAGCCCTGGTAGCCAAAAACACATGGTGGATATAAGCTCCTTAGTGTGGATTTTAAAACCTCTAAAATATGGCTTCAGGTTAGAAGCAGCCTCAACCTATCTCTCCAACAGTTTCTCTCATGATACTCCCTGCATGCACCTAAAGGACTAGACCATCTCTAATTTTCCACATATACTCTTGCATTTTTGCTGTTGTTGACTTCTGAGTCCTTCTTCATGCTTTTCATTTACTGGATTAATCCTCCTTTCCAATCTCTTGTCAAAATACTTCACATTGCTTCAAGCCCTGTCTTAAACACCCTGCCATTGTGAAGCCTGTGGAAAAGGCTGCTAGGTGGTCAAGAAACCCATCTCTTCTCCTGGACACACAGCTGGACTACACTTCCCAACCTCTCTCACAGTTAGCTGTGGCCACATGGCAGATGTCTAGCCAAAGGAACTCAAGTGGAAATGATGTGCACCCTTTTCAGACCTGGCTATTAAAACTTCCCATCCTCCATGTTTTTCTCCTTCTGCTGGCTTAATGTGGGCAGGCCCAGCAGTCCTAGGAGCTACATGTTGAAAATGGTGGACCCACGAGATGAAAGGATCTGAACCTCTGAATCACCATGTGGAGCAGAATCAATCACCAATCAGGAAAACCTGTTTTTAACTTTTGATGATGGAGAAATGATCTTTTGCTGTGTTTGAGCCATTATACATTTTGGAATTAGTTTTGTAGCAGCAGCAGCTCCACTATCTTAAAGAATACATCATTTCCTCACCAGCACAATCAATCCAAAATAATCCTTCTTGCTGCTACACTGCCTCTCACCTGGTAGAGAGTCTTTCTGTTCACATTGTCATTATATATGTTGTTACCTCCTTAACACTTTCCCTCCACACACAGACACTCCTACTACCAAGGTGTTAGAAGTTCTCTGAGGGCAGGGGTTGCATTTTATATACCTTTATAGCTCTCCAATTTCTAAGATAACATAGCACCTTGTCAGACTTGCCCTCAATAAATTCTGTATCTTTTCAGTTGACTAATACCTATTATTTAAGGTGTGTTGTTGGATAGCAGGGGGCAAAGTATCTCTATTTTATGGTCTTTTCTCCTTGTAGTCTCCTAAAAAATAAGTAAGTCATTTCTGCATGTTTTATTTAAATTAGTCACTTTGAGCAAAGAGAATTAATTTCTCCAGGTATTAATTAGTGGGGATCAGGATGAGATAAAGGCATTTCTTGAAAATAAAGGTCTTACAGAGTTAGGGCAGTGACTAAATGAGAATCAAAGGTTTGAGAAGCAGGAGACATTATCTCAATTTTACCAGTCTGGTGGTCGTGCTACCCTCATGTGATCAAGCAAGGTGATAGATACAAAAGCATCTTAAAAGTGCCCTGAGAGCTCACTACATGTAGAGGTGACAGCATATCCATCTTTGTGCCTCCCACATCCAGCACAGTGCATGCCCAGAGTAGGTGTTCAAATATCTATTTACCTAATTATACAGAACTACATCATTGTGTGTGATACTCCACTGGAATATCAATGGCTATTAATGACTCTCTTTTAGCTTGCAACAGAATAGCCAAATGAACAATGATTGATTATACCAAGTGCATGGGGCGTACCCAGCTGCTCTTAGAATCCTACTTCAAGAAAGTTGCAATAGATTTAAAGAGGACAAGATCCAGGTCCCTCTTCCTTTGATTTATCTCCAAATGTCCACTTTCTTGAGAGCCAAGCAGGGCTCATAATTCTATTTTCTACACACTGAGCTCTCAGCCCCTTCTTAAAAAGCCCCCAACTGCATAGACTAGGAGAAGATATTTGTATTACATATATCCAACAAAAGACTTACATGTAGTTTACATAAAAACACCTATGAATCAATTGAAAAAGGCAAATAACCTTTAAAAAAAAATGGGTGAAAGTCTTGAACAGGTACTTTACAAAAGAAGATATTCAAGTAACCAATTAGCAGATGAAAAGATGGTCAACATCATTAGAGATAGGGGAACTGCAAATTAAAACCATAATGCGATATCACTACACGCCCACAAGAATAGCTGAAAAGAGTGGTATTTCCAAGTGCTGGTGAAGGTTTGGAATGCTCATGTATTGCTAAAGGAATGCAGATCAGTACTGATCGTGGTATATTTATTTTTGTGATATATTTACACAAAGGAATAACGTAGAACAGAGAAAATTAATGAAACACCACTATATAGGACAATATGAATCAATCTCATAAACATATCATCAAGTGAAAGAAGTCAGACACAGAGGAATATCTACTTTATGATTCTATTTATACATAGTTCAAAAATAGACAAAACTAATCATTGACATTG